GATGTTGAAAAAAAATCACATAGCGGTCGCCATTTGATGTGCTTTTTTGAATAGAAACATACAATGGTTAGTCATCGACATTTATGCGGTAATCAAAGCCGTTTATCTGTTCGATCGCTTATTCACAGCGACCAACGGTGAAGATGACATCAATATCACAGTGAGAACGATTTGCGGGAAGTGTGCATTCGTCAGAAGCAGCTGCCGGGGACTAGGTCTCGTCAATGATATTCATTTTACAAATTATAAAATATAGTTGGAAAGTATATATATAAAAACTATAAGTTTTCAATGTCATGATCTTCAATAAGCGCCTTCTTCTTGTATTTCTTCTCAACAATCTTTTCGCCTCCTTTTGCCATGAGAAAGAGCAACTGAAAGTCGACATTGAGTGCGACTTGCATTGCTGCAAACGGTGCATTTGCGGAAAATCTTGGAAAAGGAACTCACAGTGATCAGCACTAGAATAAGGGCGGTGATTCCCATAATAATAAGTGCTGTTAGTGGCCAATCGTGAGTCTTTTCCTGGATGATGCGCTGAAATTTCTTGTTTATTCACTCCATACAGCTTGTTTATTTATCATTCAGTCTTTCGTCTTTTTTTTTAAATTATTAAGGGGAAGAAATTACCATAGTTTTTTCGCAATGAAGATATAAAATATCCAAATATGAATCAAATATCAGAAATATTTTTGTTATTGCAGTTTGGTTAGTTGAAACAAAAAAAAATTATTTTTAGATAGCCAAAAATTAGAATAATTTGGCCAAAAATTTCAATTTAACAGCAAAATTACCAGCATTCTTTTAACATTCTGTATGGTGTCTGTGTTGAAATTGTTACTGATTGAAGCGATTGTTTCTTGGCCACGTTCCGCTATTTGTGCCACGGCGTCATCGACCTAATAAATCGATAATCGATCGATTTCAATTAATATTGTTGTGTCCTTAGTGTTACCTGATACGTCAACACATTGATCTGTCCAGAAAGCAGTTCTATTTGGAAGACAACCCTGTCAATGGAGGCGTTTGTAGCCGCAGTAGTCGTCGCGACGGCCTCATAATAGTTAAAAGGTGGTGGCATTCGGATGGCGTCACCACCTAGGTGTTACCCGAAAATGAAGCCAGAATTCTGGAAGAAGTTACGAAATTTTGGCAAAAAACGCTGTGGTCTCCTGCATTGCGACTGTAAGCTCACATCTTAGCATTGGAAAGAATCTGTGCAAACTGTGACCAAACAGAAGCAG